TCTAATGGCCTTAGTATTATTATTCTGTGTATGTTTGACTACTATTCTTTTATCTGAATATAAAGAACCCATTGTCAGGCAGACTGCAGGCTAAATAGGAAAACACTCAGTTGCAGAGCAGTCACAAGTGATTAAGATGCATAGAACAGACTGCATGCGCTGCTGCAGGTCAAGGGGACACTAGCCCTGAGCTACAGTCTGAGACACGCTCATAATCAGAGAAACAATATATTATATGCTGAATTTACAACTGACATCATAATATATATAGCAAAATCTATTATATGTTGTCTCTGCAGAGTTGATACAATTGGAGAAGTCGCGTACAAACTTAGGGTGAACCCGAACGGCGGGGATTTTTAATTGAAAGTAAAAAGGTTAAGAAGATTTGATGAATGAACTGGAAGACTGCTAAAGACAATGTTGTGGAAATCTGTTCTGGTTCTTTTAGAGATTATTCAGGAAATAACCAAAGTCTACAAAAGAAGTCTGAAGTCGTTCTGATTTACTCAGGTTGAAGCGTTTATTGTCACAAGCGCAGTTTGCAACAACAGAGGCGATATGATCATATGTCCCACTGATCAGCCTCTATCGTTCAGTTTTATACATACTGTCCTCCTCCCTTATGATCAATATCACATACATCACATCTCACCAATATCTACAGTTTGATCATTAGTCTTAATTTCTGTCCCAGCTGCATCCTGCTCCCCAGACCAGGCTGACGTATACCCAAAGTTTAGTTTTTAATTGTTATTTGACCCAAGGATAACCTTACCATGTCATCTGTAGATAAGACCCTTGTGTCTTATGGATAATAGCCCCTATGGTCCTCTCTATGATCTCTGGGATGATACGGGTGCTCTGGTGTGGGTGCCCTTGAGGACAGCAGGGCATGTAATGATCTAATAACCATCTCCCTTTAGGCATATCATATCTCATAGCCTATTTTCCTAATAGAAGCTGACATTATAAGGTAGAAGTCAGGTAAAACATCACTTACATAGATAATGCTGAGATATGTGTCTGAAACGTCAGTAAGACAGATTCCACTTCCAATAGAATAAAGTTATATATATAGTCTGAGCCGCATCATATGGCATTGGAGTAATGAGTGCATTCATTATACATTCATATAATCAGTCACAAACACATATACTGTTATTTTCACAACAATAGGAAGAGGGAATAAAGGCTCTGTGCAATGGACAGACTGAGACCAGACGCCCAATCATCTGTCTCTGTTGTTATGCTGACTGCTGTGACAATAAAACCCTGTTTGAAGATCTCTACTTCTTTATACTTGAAGACTTTATTTTTGAACAATCTTGCACAACAGTATAAGCAGTTTCTTAACTTTTCTGAGAACACATTACATACATGTCTGAGAATATTTAACTCTCAAAATACATATCAGGCCCTGAGAAGAAGGTAATATGAGTACCAAAGCTAAAAAAAAGAGCAAGTTCACCATGCATGCATCGTAGAGCCATACAAGATTCAGCTGACCACTTGGACGGGTGCAAAAAGCACAAGGGTCAGCTAAGCATTTCAGTTTAGGCAAGCATAAAACACTGGTCAATGCATGTTAAATATTAACAGAAATATTTGGAATGCATAATGAGACGTAATTGATAACATATTCAATATAATCAAACTAGGGCTGAACAATATATCGTTTGAGCATAGATAGCACAATGTGTGCGGCTAAAATAGTCATATCACAGTTATTATTGTTTATTAAAAATTAAAAGATGAAGATATTAATAAATATACTTATTTTTAGTTATTATTTATTCAACAAATACCATTTTATTATGTAATTGAAAACTGTTAGACTCCCCTGAAAACCATAAAGCTCGGTTTATTTCTTTATTTTTGCTTGTAATTTATTATAATTTATGCAGATGCACTGCATAGAAAATGACTTGATCATCTCAGTCGATCTAAATTAAAGAAATCTTTCCCAATAGAGTTATTTAAAAAATCTGGTGAAATTATTCATATCACGGTAAAACAAAATATCGCAGATATGTCAGATTTTTCCAATATCATGCAGCTCTACATCGAGCCATAGTAAATATGTAGATTTCCTATAAATAATGCATCACTAAGTCAATGAACCATTCATTGATTTTTAATTTAGAAAGAATAGTTTGTCAATAATTGTTTGAATTCTTCAGTCAGTCAGTTGGAAATCAGTAACCTAAAGAGTCCAGAGTGTATGAGTGTGAATGCAAGAGTATGTAGATGTTTCCCAGTGATGGTTTGCAGCCGGATGGGCATCCGCTGTGTAAAACATATGCTAGATAAGATGGCAGTTCATTCTGCTATGGTGACTCCTGATAAATAAAGCGACTAAGCCGAAAAGAAAATGGATGAATAAATGAATGTGTTATTTTAATATGTGGCCTATGTAAAATAAAAAAAGCATATGCTGTCCTTAGTGTCATTATCTTGGGCTTAAAAATAATAATTCAGATATAATTATTCAGGGGGTTAATAATTCTGACTTCAACTGCATATTTTTTGTTTTAGCAAAAAAAGCCAAATAAATTATTTCAGCTTGAATCAAACAGATCAAAGGGAGCTTTAATAATAAAAAAAAAAACGTTTAAAGCTGAAATTTCCCATCACTCTGGCCATCTGGCAAAAAAAAAAAAAACACACAGATGGAGATAAGAGTCTGCACTCCTTTAGAGAAACCAACACAGGAGTATATTATCAGAACAGTCAAGGACAGACTTTTGGACAGTTTAGATAAACATCCTGCTAAAGGCACACAAGAAGCTAGTAACAAGTACTGAAACTAATTTGCTAAGCAAAAAAGAAAATGTTTTGTTTATTAATATATGTTTTTATTATGTCATAATATCACGTTTCATTCAAAATAATGTAAAGCTCTTGTTAATAAGTATTACTACACTAACCTATACACAGCTTTAGCATTACACAGCACACATTTAGGTCAAACATTAGAATCATAGTTCAGTTAGAGAGTGAGTCATCTGTGCTGATTCAGTGTGCAAGTGAGTCGCCTGAGTGATTCAAATGATTCGATCTAAATGTGTTTGATTCATAATAATATAGCAAACTGTTTGCCGGATTTATAACGAAGAGACACTGCAAAAATCATTATATTAAGTTAACTTTAGAAAACACCTTTGTATGTTAATGGGATTCAATTTAGGGTGTTTGTATTTGGTGTGTCTTTTTTTTCTACAAAGTGTTTCTTCAAGCTTTTTAATGCATTAAATATTATATAAAACATTTAATATTAAGAAAATAAACTTTCGACTTATCTATGTGCAGACTTACAGGATACAGGATAAGATAAGCTGAAATTATCATCGTCCTTTCATTGTTCTCCTCTGTTTTAATGTTAATACAGCACTATAGTAACTGTTAATGTTATGTTAAGATATTAAAGAAGTAATTAATGTGTGTAATCTATTATCTTGAGCATACATCTCTTGAATTTATGAAGGGCTTACAGGAGAGTGCGCAAAATGTAATGAAATGAATTTACCATTATGATCATCTATGTCAAGTTGATAAATAATCAAGCTATTCTGCTATCAATGTATGTTTCCGGAATAAAATGGGCAAACGTATGGATTGGCAAGGGGCTGTTAAACATACCTGTGAGGGAAAATTTAATAAAAAAAACTGCAAACTTGTTGCCTCAAGAGTTGAGAGTGGTAATGTAGTGGTTTTAGGTTTTTCTCTTAATGAATCAAATTCAGTCTGGAGGTTATGAATATTAGAAGAGTATACTTTATTGTCGACAACAAAGGAGATTTTTCAGGAGACCCCCATTAGCATCTCTGCCTGAAAATTCTGTCTCACTGATGTTCTGGCCTGCTTATAAACTCTTTTGCAGCTTTTTTTCACATTGTTCTACATATGTCACATAAGATCCCACCCAGTTTTAACCCCTGACCCCAAATTCCACCTAGTTTAACCCCTGACCCAAACCTGGTAACCATATACCTTATCCATTTCTTGTGACACCAAAAGGCTAATTTATACTTCTGCGTCAAACGCCGGCGTATGCTACGGCGCTGACGCATAGCCCTTCGCCGTGGCCGTCGACGTCGCTGACGTGCACCTCTCAAAAAATGTAACTACACGTCGCAACAACGCGTAGCGTAAGCTCTGTGTTGGTCAGCTTGGTAGCGCTGACGAGTCTGGGCGGGACCGAGAGCAGCGCGAATGTGAGCGAGCGATTGTTTACAAGTGTGGAGTCCCGTGAAGGATCTCCGGATGGAAAGTTTTGTTTTTTGTTTACCTCATAGTTAAAGTTGTTGCACGTTCGCCGGTTCCTGCTTCAAAATGAGCGAGTTTGAGTCATTTGTACAACCAGGAAGTGTTCAGGAAAAGCAAAACAGCAGCGAAGAAACTCGACACAGAGGAACATTTACACCTCACTGCCAACTAGCGTTTCGGATGTGTTAATGCAGACCAACAGAGACAGCGCGCAGAAGTATAAATGCACAGCTGCGCGCGTTACCTGCGCCGTGAGTTACGCCGATCACTTGACGCAGAAATATAAACCAGGCTTTAATACTTCTGTTGGTATGTAAGTCTACAAGCAGATTATACACATACAATTTGAATATATAGATTAACTTCACACTTTAAAGAGTATAAAATCCACTTCAGTAACTCACAGAAGCTGCTACACCACATATCCTAGCCAGACAAACTATTAATATATCAAATTATAACTCAAGGGGGGCTAATAATTCTGACTTCAACTGACTGTATATACACTTGATTATATGTTTGTACTTAACACTTTTAAAGAATAAAAATCATCAAGAGCTGTTTACTGGTTGAAAACATAACCTGTTTATCCCGTCAAAGGTAAAGGATGACTGTTAAGATCTGCAGAAGCCCTGCAATATCGCATTTATATTACAGTGCAATTGAAAGGTGAAATGCACAGATATTTGTTTTCTCTGTGTATGTGCAAATGTTTTTTTGTGAGTGCATACCTCCATATTCCAGGTTCTGCAGTGGCCACAGCACAGAATAAGCAATCTGTTGCGGAGCGTAAAACAGAGGAGCCATACAGCAAGTCGGCTGTGAAGAGTGCTGAACCCGAGATCCAAATTCATCCATGATGTACCAAACAGGCACCTTTTCTTCTGCAGACTGCAATAAGAGGAGAGTTTTGAGTTTATTGCCATTTTAGCCTCCCTGACTGTTTCATGGCAAAACAGAGAAAACATTAGTACATTTCAGAATAATTAATATTTAAATAATTCATAAACATTTTATATAAATAATGAAAGCATCACTACATTATTAGACATATCAATTATCTATAATAAACACATTAACTACAATAAAAAGAGATCAATAATAAATAATAATGCACAAAATAATACATAATAAATAATAGATAAAATATGGGCCACACTTTATTTTGATGGTCCATTTGTTGAATTTAAGTTATATTGCAACTAACTCTCATTAGATTATAAGTAGACTTTTAGCACTAGGGTTAGTGTTAGTTGACATGTGGTTGCAAAGTTTTTTATGGTCAGTTTAACGTCTGTTGAAGGAGCAGTATCAGCAGATATTAAGCAGACAGTCTACTAATACTCAAATGGACCATCAAAATAAAGTGCTACCAAAATATGATTTAAATTATGATAAAAGTTCTACTATTTTGGAAGGATTCACAATAAAAATAATTTCACTCCTGATAAAAATCCCTGTATGATAACATCAAAAATAGGGCATTGCAACACTTAAATTATGGATGGAATTCATGTCTGAGAAAGTGTCGTATGAAAAAATTTGCTAAAATGAATGGCGATCACAAGGTTGGTAATATATAGGAGAATATAGACAAGGAGCGTGTCGACCCTGTTGTAGTATTTTCTTTATGCATTTATTACTATTTTCCTAATTAGGTTTTCTCATTTTTTTTCACAGTATATTTTTAAATGTAAAGAACTTGTATGCATTGTGTATTTTTGTATGGTGCATGTTATATTAAGAGGAAATCAATAAAAATAGGGTATTGCAAAAGGCATATGTTTGACAGTTCTTGATATTGAAACATTGACATTTTGGAGCATCTTCTCCTTTGACAATTATTTTATCATCAAACAAATCAAACAACAATTTTATCATCAGCAGCATATATTCAAATATGAATATAAAATGCTGTTATAACTTTCCAATAAGGTTCCATTAGTTCATGAATTTACTAACATGTACAATCAAAGAACAATACATTTTTTACAGTGCTTATTCATCTTGGCTATTGTGTGTAAATAAAAATACAATAATTAATTATTAGTTCTTGTTAATTCGCTGTGCATTAATTGATGTTGACATTTTTGGATTTTAAAAATGCATTAGCAAATGCTGAATTATTATTAATAATTGCCATACATTTAATGTCTGTTCTTAGTTTATGGTAGCGATTACATTACATATCATTACATAATGGAGCCTTAATGTAAAGTGTGACACTTATATCCAAATCCTATTAGTATTTCCTTTCTCTTACTCCCTGGGATAGCTGATAGGTTTGGTTGTATTTCCACATGCTGTCCAGTATCAGATCCACAATATCTGGATCTGGAGCCTCTCCGTGGAAAGGCAAACACATTAGACTGGCCATTCTGATCAGCAGGCCAGGAATCTCCAGAAGCTGCTGACGTGCGCTTTCCACCCTATATGTCCAGGCATGATCGACCAGAAACACACTGTGAAGCAAATCAGAGAGAAATGGGTTAAAGACCCATGAATAAAAGTGGAACGCTGTTTTATTATCATCCGTTGTTTTATTTCATCCATAAATTTCAATGCGAGCAGCATAAAGTAATGACTTTCATACTATTTAGATGACAAAAAACATGACTTACAAAAGACACACATTGAAATGTAATTTAGTAAAAAAAAAAAAAAGATTATATATATATATATATATATATATATATATATATATATATATATATATATATATATATATATATATATATATGCTCCAGTGAATTAAATATAAGCATTCATTTAAGTTATATTTTAATTTATTAAAAAAAACATGTATGGGCGTCATGGTGGCGCAGTGGGTAGCATGATCGCCTCACAACAAGAAGGTCGCTGGTTCAAGCCTCAGCTGCAGGGGCACTCCCAAGGGGTGGCCAGAGTTTACACACCCCTTGATTTTGCTGTTGTTATTATTAATTTAAACGTAAATTCACAATATTTCAATAAATAAATAAATTGCAGCCACAAATTTATTGTGGATTGATTGGTGCACTGACGTAGATGATTCACAGACATGACATATACCGTTTGCTTTACAATAAAAGTATGTGAAAAATAACTCAAAAGTTGTTTATATATATGAAAAGTGTTTGTAAACTAAATATAGTTTTGTTTATTTTACTGAATTTTAATGTATTGTTTTTTAGGAGATGAAATACGACATTTCAAGAGTAATTAATTAAATGAATTAAAACCACATTACTTTATTTACCAGAAACAAAAATATAACATTACAATGAATTCGTATTTTTTCTGTGTGTGTGCCAACCCAACTTTACAAGAGAAGCGTCTTGTGAACACTTGCAATGTCTATTTGTCCTCTAGATCTGCCAGCTTCAGACTGCTGAATAATTTTTTTCTGAGATCAAATTGGCGCAATAAAGCCTTCACAATAGTATAAACCATTATAGTGGAGTTGTATTGCATGCATTTTATTATATATACTATTATTATTTAAGATACAGATAAGAGAAAACTATTTCTCTATTAAAGAACTGACCCTCCCCCCCACCATACAACTTGTTTTGAAGTCCTTCAGAAGGGATCAAGCGCTAATTAGGGGGGGTCAATCCCCCCACATACCCTGTAATTCACACTCTGACTGTGTATAGGTACATTCTGATGCTGGTTTATGGCCATTCTTGCTTGTCCCTTGCTTGTCCTTGCTGCTTCTTTGCTGTTTTTGTTAGTTTGTTTGTTTATTTTATTTTTTGTCTTTCAGGCAGGGAAATATTGTTTATTGCTTTGTAATTCATCTGTTAACACCTTTCCCCCCTCAAAAGTAAATGTATATACATTTTCTCCAGCATCATATACACACACTTATGTGATTTCACACAAATAAAATATTTACAAACGTGTTTTTCAACTCCTTCAAATAATAAGACCCCCTGAATTCCTGACAAATGAGCCACTGCTGCCCTCACCTGGTGGGATCCGCAGCCTGCAGACCACTCTCTCTGGTCACAATCACTTTATAAGCGATCTCATCTCCAGGATTGAGTCTCTTTTCTTTCTCCTCATCCCCATCTTCATCTTCCTCCACTTGCATGATGCCAAACACATCACCGGCATCAAAAACCTACAAGAAAAAGGCAATCAATACAGTTACCTGCTCATACTAGTTCAAACTACTCTGGAGTCTTGGTGTATATGACTATACACAAGAAACAACATGATGATGGTTTTAATCACATGCACAATAAAGCTTGACAATTGAATAATCAAACTGGCACACAGTCACAGTCTCAGCAGTGCTGGCAGTATATATTTACCTCATTGGCAAGTTTTAAATGCAAACTCTTCCAGTAAAGCGGAGGGATTCGTGCAGCCTTTAAAGCGGGACTGTGCAGAGAGAGGAAGAGCTGATACTCTTTATCCTCCTCTGTGTTTACACTGCCGTTCTGCATCTTTTTAGATGTTGCTAGTTTCCTTCTGACAACTCACATGTGTACTGTGGAGTGGTGCATTGTGGGAAACAGGTTTAAAAGGCCAGGGCGTCGCGTTGTCTGTCATGTCGGAAGCGTTTAAATTGCGTATGTTTTAAGATTATGATAAAGAATTAAAATATTTCCACGTATAGAAAGCGGTCAAAACAATGAAGAAAAAACGGTGTAACATTATTTTTTTCACTTTCAATCTTGCTGTTATTGTAAATCGGCTATAAAACAGGTTCATTAAAGGAGTTAAACATTTTAATGTTTTAATTGTTGCATTATTAGCTTTACAGAAATATAACCAACACCAATTGATATCATATATCATTTATACTATGAATAATATGTTATTATTTCTTACTAACGTTAACGTTAGTTAAGTTACCTGAAAATTAGCATTAAGTAAACCTTAACGTTACCATACTGCAGTTTCTCTCGCCCATAACCGTATCCTGTTTACAGATTCGTTGATTAAAAGGCACATTTTAACCGGAGACTTTCTGTTAACACTAAAGACATGCATAGACATATATTAAAATCAATATTTGAATCAAACAAGGCTATAGTTTATTACACGCTGTAACCGCATGATGGCGCGCACACACCGCGGATTGATATGAGAGACGCGGAATAAAAGTAGTGCCGGGTGCTTAGAGCTGTGATCGACCAATCAGAATTAGGCATTTAGCATAATATAAGCATACTATAACAATCATCGATTTATTAATTTAGTTTATTTTTAACGATTAAATAATTCAGGCAAGAGTCACTTTAAATCACAATATTTTTAACAACAATCAATAAAATAATTGTGCACATTTGTCAGACAAACATATCAATACAGAAAAGCATTTCCCCAGGTGTTACATGACAGTTTACATTATGTACTTCTTAAATAGCAACACATTCTGTCTTCAGTAGATTTTTTCTTTTAAATATTCTTTCTAATTTGCCAGGAAAGTGCTGTGAGGGGGCAAACAATGACGGTGAATTCATATTACAGTATATTGCATTGTCTTAATCTCTTTATTGGTGGCATGGACTTGTATGGCACATATTAAAGTATTCTGAGGTCGCAGAGAAGTATTAGCACCACTTGCAATGTAAACTCTGGCATAAACTGTCCACAGTACATAGGCTGATACAACAGATCAACACATCTTTGGTTCTGAATAAAGACGAAAGGCACATTTGGAGAACGTCCAAAATGTCACAATAGGAGTGCTTGACATGTCATGTATATTTACACTCGGCGCTGGATTCCAAAGATTTTGTCTACACAAACTGTCTTTCCCACTGCCAAAATATGCAGAATGACTTGTATATAACCAGGGCAGTCATGTATACATGTATATTTACTAAGCCCCAGCATTGGTCCATTTGCTTCTCTTAATTATTTGGTGAGCCAACAAAGAAACTCATCTGCCTGGACTCACTGACAGGACTTTCTGGACAGTCGATAGAGGAAGTTGTATGGATGTTGTTAGGAAAAGTCCACTTGTAACTATCAAGGGTGCTTGCAGAATGAGGTATGTGTCCAGTGCAGTCCTTGATGGGCATCTGTAAATCCGCCATTGGTGGTTCACTAACACATCTTCTCAAGGGGGCGCCGCTAAACAATATAAAAGACAATTGTAATTTGGACTCATTCATTCATTTTCCTTTGGCTTAGTCCCTGATTTATCACAGTGGAATGAACCACTAACTACTCTGGCATATGTTTTACGCTGCGGATGCCCTTCCAGCTGCAACCCAGTATTGGGAAATTTAATTGGGATCTCTCATTGCTTATTAGACTGTTCGTTTAATTTTGTTGCTTATATTAAAGCTAAACACCAATTCTACACCACAAAACAATCATTTACAGATTCAAAATACAATCATAAATTTTAATAACCCTTTAGTTTAGGTCACAATTTATGATATTAATAAATTAATAACTAACACTATGAGATTAATAAACTACTAAGTAGCTGTTTATTAATAGTTAGTAATGTAGAAGTTGGGTTTTGGGTAGGATTAGGGATGCAGAATAAGATCCTACTTTATAACTACTAATGAACAGTTCATATCTTAATAATAGGCAGCTAATAAGCCAACAGCATGAATACCATACCATAATGAATAACCAGTAAATAGCATTAGTTTATAAAATCACATAAAATAAAAAAAAATTATCTAACATTATTAAAAGTATTTTAACTATTATAAGTACACTAGATGACATTGCAAATAAAAACTTGTGCAAGGTGTCAGTTTTATGTATGGAATAAAAAGCTACATTAAACATTCGATGATGATGATGATGATGATGATGATAATGATTTATTTGTCACATACACTTTTACATGTAGAAAAATTGGACTTAGAAATAATTGCTCTGTGGCTTGTTTTGTCTTTTGAATAAACTCCTGAAAATACTTCCTGTGAACTTCCTATTCAGCAATATTTACAAAATTGTAAGGCATAAAACTGTTCATCATTGATAACAGCACTGATATTAACAGATAATTGATAATAAAAAACGTTTCTAAAACACCAAATGAATTAGAGGGAATTTCAACAATGCCTTGAGATTGCCTAAATTTGCTTGTAAAATGTATTACATTGATAACAAATTAGAGTAAAGACTTGCGATGCTACAAAGCAAAAATAAATCAAATAAACGTGTGTTGTTGTTTTTTTGTGAAAGTACAGATGTTTAACAGATGAATGATTCCTGAGGGGTCTTACCTGTTTGCTTCTGATGCTGCACCTTTCCAAGCCAATCTGTAAACACCTCCTGCCACCTCAGTAAGCCAGCGCACATCCGCAGGGACTTCTGGGATCCACTCCCAAAACCTTTTAAATGTAAACGATACAGAAGTTAAAACACTGTGGCGTCCACTCAGAGGCATTTCATTCTGAATGATTAGGTAAAAGATTTCGGGAGAGTTATTATAACCTATCAGACACCTCCTGTTCACCATTTCTGCTTTTTCTCATGGCGCTGTCAAAACTGACAGCTGGAGAGGCGTGGTTAAGTATGCTATCCCCGCCCCATACCTCAGACAGATCTAATCTGAGAATTTAACTAAAAACAAACAGGAAGTGTATTTCCAGATTTTAATTAAGGTTTAAAAGGGCAAACTACTTGTTTTGCTTAAAGACAGGCAATTGTTCACTACAAAACTAGCAATGTGAGCTAACAAAATCACATGGTTAGTTTTGATTTCATGTGTACTTTAATGTATTAAGAATACACAATGCCTGTAAACTCAAAGCATATTTACTCCAGTTTTCAGTGTCACATGCATGATCCTCTAATACACAGGTGTCAAACTCAGTTCCAAAAGGGCCGCAGCTCTGCACAGTTTAGTTCCAACCCTAATTAAACACACCTGATCAAACTAATTGAGTCCTTCAGGCTTGTTTGAAACCTACAGGTAAGTGTGTTATAGCAGGGTTGGAACTAAACTGTGCAGGGCTTCGGCCCTCCAGGAATTAAGTTTGACACCCCTGCTCTAATAGGATCAACTTATGCTCAAAAAATTATTTACTATAAGTAATAATAATAATTACTGTACTTTCAAACCTTGCTGAATAGGAAATACATTTCTTTCCCAAAACATATTAAAAAAAATCATACTTTCCCCCAAAGTGCTAATAGTGTGATCAACAGAGAAATGAAGTGCTGGTATTGACCTCTGAGCTGCAGAATAAGCGGATTCCACTGGCAGTGTGTACGGCAACAGCATATAAGACGCCACACGCACTGGCAGCAAACCAGTCACCTGTGCCAGCAGACCGTGCTTTTCTCTGCAGGCGTCGCAAAAAACTGCAAATAAAAATATGCACATGATATAGTATGATAATAAAATAATTTACATACATACACACATACGTACATAATTTAATAACTTAAATGCTTGTACAAAAATGTTATAAATATAATACTAATAATACTAATACTGATACTACTACTACTGATAATAATAATAATAATAATAAATGTTGTTGATTTATCATTTTATTTGTATTTCTTGGTATTTTCATTAATTGCCAATATCTCAAAACATGCAGCCAAATTAATATGTACATGGAAACATTTCTCATCTACCTTTCTTAATAGGTGTTGGCAGGTTATCAACAATCTGTTCATCCAGCCACCAGTGGTGTTTCCTCAAGAGCCGGAGCCTCCGCAAGACCCACTCCTTGGTCGTTTCCTCCACCACTGGATTCTTCTTCCCAGGGCAGCAGCAGGTTGGTGTGGCCTGAATCAGAGCCATGTCTACTCCTGGACATGCTGCCTGTAGCAAATCTACAAAGACACATCCCTGGGTTATCTTCTGCACCACAGGCACGTATCGTAGTAGGCATAATTCATTTATGAACAATCGGAGATAAAGATATACTAGAGATAAAGAGCGCTCACTGTTTTCCTGGAGAAACCGTAGGGCGTCTTTATACCCGCTCTGACACATCTCTGCCAGCACCTGCCAAAAACAAAGCCAGGATTTAATCAGTGATTCAAAAATGGCAGTAGCTGAATACATTAAATAATGCTTTGTAATGTCTAGAGTGTTTGTGCATGTATAAGAACTGCAAAGCTACAACGTTTTTTTTTTTAAAATTAATTGTTGCAAAATTGTACATCACAAAACAGGAAACGATAAACACCGCAAGGCATATTTACCATTAAAAAAATGTATTAATTATTAAAAATGTTCTACTAAAAAAGTAACAATTATAACAACAGCAACAAAGAGCAAGGAGCAGTGCATAAGATATACATCACAGGAAAAAAAACACTATAATAATAAATATTTTGAAATTGAAGTACAAAGAGCTTCAGTTTTTTTATTTAATTTTAGTTTCTTAAATATTTTAAGCAGGTGGCGCAGTGGCTCAGTCTTTAGCACTGTCGCCTTACAGCAAGAAGGTTTCTGGTTCAAGTCCTGGCCGGACCAGTTGGCGTTTCTGTGTGGAGTTTGCATGTTCTCTCCGTGGGTTTCCTCCAGGTGCTCTGGTTTACCCCACAGTATTTGTGTGTGAATGAGTATGTATGGATGTTCCCCAGTACAGGGTTGCAGCTGCATAAGTTGGCGGTTCATTCGGCTGTGGCAACTACTGATGAATACAGGGACTAAGCTGAAGGAAAATGAACGAATGAAGTATTTGAAGCTTTGAGCCATTTTCCCTACCTCAGAAAGAAAACACTTAAAAAAGGGCCTGCAGTTTTTCCCTTTACAAGAATAAATATAATATTTCATTCATTCATTCATTTTCTTTTTGTCATATCTGGGGTCGCCACAGCGGAATGAACCGCCAACTTATACAGTATATGTTTTATGCAGCGGATGCCCTTTCAGCTGCAACCCATCACTAGGAAACACCCATACACTCTCACTCACACACATACTCTATGGACAATTTTAGCTTACCCAATTCACCTATCACGCATGTATTTGAACTGTGGGGGAATGTTGAGCACCATGAGAAAACCTACACAAACACGGAGAGAACATGCAAACTCCACACAGAAATGCCAACTGACCCAGCCGAGGTTTAAAGCAGCGACCTTCTTGCTGTGATGCGACATCGCTACCCACTTTGCCACCGTGCAGCTAATATGATATTTACCCATTAATAAAAAAAAAGTTCACAGCATTAGAGAAAGAAAAATGTAAATCACATTTGTAAAAGATTCTTCTAGAACAATAGGAGGAGCTACAAAGTTTAACAGCATAAAATGAAATCTATGCCACAGTTTGAAATACACTGTAAAAGTGATTAGTTGACTTTGCTTTAGAAAAGAGAGCTACCTTGTTGCCTAATTAATAAGTAAACAAACTATGTGCATAATTATAAAAGTTAAGTCAATGGGTTTACTGACTTTTTAAAGTAAAATCAACTTCTATTTGAGGTTCTATTTGAGGCAAAGGGTTTACTCGCTTATTTAAATTAAAGTAACTAATCGCTATTTATAGTGTGTTAGTATGCCTCCCAAATGCCTATGCATGAATGTGTCAGTCAGCTGTAAAGACGCTGTAAGTGTGTCTATACTAATCATATATTGTCAGATCATGCACTAGTGTTGAATTTGACAGCTCATTTTACATGTTGTGATCTACAGTATATGCAGTGTAGGAATATTGGGAGGAATGGAACTAAATAATATTTCTAGATAAAAATATATAAAAAATACTACGATTTCAGACATAATAATTGGCTCACATACTGTTTTTTTTAACATGATTTACAGTAGAGTAGTATTTACTTTTCAATGCGGTCAAAATAACATCAAACTCAAAGTAAAACCCACAGTGGTATTGAATTATAATTTAATATTACATTATATTGTTGCATTATACCATTATAATGGTTTTATTGCAGCATTATAATGCATGAAAAGAAAATGCCTGAGACAAAACAAGCAAGAAAACCACCATAAAGAAATTCTTAAATACAATATAGGATTTTGCAATGCTAAATAGACCTTCTGTTCAAATGTTCTAAACAAAAACCTCAGGAACACACGTGTACTGTTTGCTCTTGTTGACAGGATAAGTAATAAGTAAGCCTTTAAACTTGCACCCCAAGTGAATTGCTTAGTGGCCAGAAGTGCAGAAGTTTGCATTAGGAAAAGGGGTTTTACACTTTCAACATATGTTTGAGGTCTTTGGCCAACTCTGTATTAAAGTGAAACTGCTAATCTGACAGCAAACATATCCACAAATGTGAGGTATTTACCAGCACATGCTTCTCAAAGGCGTAATAAAGAAGGAGGATTGTGTAACTGCTCATGTAAATCACTCTCAGGCACGTGTGTGTGTGTGTGTGTGTGTGTACGTATAGTTGAAATCAAAATTATTAGCTCTCCTCAGATTTTTTTAAGTTATGTTTAGCCTAAATACCCTATAATATTTTTTCTACTGGAGAAAGTCTTATTTGTTTATTGTTCGGCTACAATGAAAGCAGTTTTTAAACCATTTTAAGGTCAATATTAATAGCCCTCTTAAGCTATTGTTATACAATGACTTGCCTAATTACCCTAACCTGCCTGATTAACCTAGTTAAGCCTTTAAATGACACTTTAAGCTGAATACCAGTATACTGAAAAATATCTAGAAAATATTACGTACTGTCATCATGGCAAAGATTAAAGAAATCAGTGTGTGTTCTTACTTTAGGCTCTGGGGGAAACAGGGCCTTGCTCAGTCTGTACGCGTTGTCCAGATTGAATTGAATGCTGGTGTTTGTGAAACGCAGTTCGTGGAAGCTGGTGGAATTGTCTTTTGGACAGATGTCGCTCTCTCCAGAGAATGGAGAAACAGTGATGGTGTTCTTCAGCTCTGACTGGGGCAGATTATCACTGATGCCGCCGTCCACATAACGCTGAGGAGACAAAAAAAGTGGAAGGTTTTTGTGTTTTAAGTCTCACTCATTATTATTATCTGATCAGAACAATAAAAACAAATCAAATTCAATTAGCAGAAGTCAAGTGTCAAATTAGGTATATAAATTATCAAACTGTTGGTGAAACAAATAGGAGATGAACTTTTATAACGACACATTTAAAACACGTTTATAAATAAGTCATGATACTAAGTTGAATTATATTTACAATTATTAAAATTCCGACTTGCTGACTTGTTTTAATACATTGTGGTTTTGAAGCAAGTCATCCAAAATGTGATCATGATTCTTTGATTAATAATAGTAAACATGTAGATGGATTTTTGCTCAGAAAAAAATCTATAACTATTAATAAAAACTACAATAATCAATAACCAATAGTAGAAAATACTGGTTTGAACATAATTAAAGTAATTAAATAAATGAATAAATGAATGAATGATTAAATAAATAAAATGTATAACTATTATTAAAATCTGCAATAATCAATAATCAATAGAAAATACTGGTTTAAGCATAATTAAAACATAATTAAATGAAAAAATCAATGAATGAATATATAAATAAATAAAATGTATAGCTATTTATAAAATCTACAATAATAAATACTATAAAATACTGGTTTAAACATAATTAAAAAGTAATTAAATAAATGAATAAATATATGAATGAATGAATGATTAAATAAATATATAAAATGTATAACTACTAATAAAATCTGCAATAATCAATAATCAATATTAGAGAATAATGGTTTGAACATTATTAAAAAATAATTAAATGAATAAATAAATAAATAAATAAATAAATAAATAAATAAATAAAATAAATAAATAAAACGTATAACTATTAAAAAACCTGCAACAATCAATAATCTATACTAGAAAATGCTGGTTTAAACATAATAAAAACATAATTAAATAAATTAATAAATAAATAAAATGTATAACTATTAATAAAATCTGCAATAATCAATAATAGAAAATACTGGTTTGAACATAATAAAAAATTATTTAATGAATAAATAAGTAATTTATGTAAATAATTAATTAAATAAATACAAATAAAAATCTGTCTCTTGTTCATTTTAGGCTTGACACACTTTTAAAATTTTAAAACATAATTTATGGAACCGCCATAGTAATATTTCAATAATTTATTTATCAATAATAAATATTACACATTTTTTACATTACTACATTTAAATATTGTACATTGAATTAAATATTTAAATACACATCAATGGAAACCACTTCACATTTACAAACCTAAAAGCACAATTCTAGCTTCCCAGTTCTTAATAGATCCCTAAGGGGGACATTATTTGTAATACGCCAAGACATTGGCATTTGCAGGCTGTTGCATTATAATCTCAGAGTGGTCCGATTCAGAACTGACCAGCAGTGAACCAGTGGAGTGATCAGACCATTAGACTTACATAACATCCTTTATTTGCCAACTTTACAACTAAAATCACTCAATGAACCACAAGCTAAATCTCATAGTTTTGATGCATTTATTAATCTGGTTTTGATGTTTCAAAGAAAGTCATGGTAAATATAAAGTCCAGTAACTAAACAATAACCAGTAGTCAGCTGTAACTAAAGATAAACAGACATGTGAACTGTTCCACCTCTCTGCTATTTCTATACATTGACATCTCCTTTCCAAAGTACAAGAACACAATGTTCTGAAAAATGGGTGGAGGGTGGGCTATTAGCAGATTTACTTAGTAATAACAATTAATCAAGAATACCTGAAACAACAAGCATATTTAATCCTCTTATTGAGGCTAATTTACTGTGCCCCAGTGACTGAATTCTTTGAACTCCTGCTGAAATGTCCTAATTCTCCCATACTGAAATAAAGCCAAATATTTTGGCCGTGTTTCCTCATAGAGCTCCCCATTAAAAAAAATGACTTGTTGTGAGCTTTAACACTTACCACACCACGGAAGGCAGGAGGGATTAAACCGCAATACACAGGAATGAAACAGCTACAGATGAGAGCCTAGAAATTGAGAGGAAATAAACGTGAACACAGAGCAGAAATTGGCCCTGTGTGTGCATTTAAAGAATACCGAAATGTTTGTGTTATTTAAGTCCAAACAATGTGAAATTAAGAAATATAAAGTAATTATTTAACAAGTGCTGACCTCGATCTTTTAAATTATTGCATTGAAAAAAGCAACAACAAAAAAACAACAACCTGGAAACATTTATTAGTTTTATTTCAAATGTTCACATTTAGATTTGCTTGCCGTTAATAGTAGGTTTGGCATGCTGTCTTGGGAGAGAACCCTGAGCTCGGAGATAACTGAGCCCAAGGCTCCAGCCTGGTCAATAAGCATATAACGGGGGTCCTAGATCGGGTAGGTCTTGAGAGCTTCCCTTAGAAAAGGGAGGATGGGGTGAAAGGAGGGATTCTTCCAAAACGAAGATAATGCAGTAGGGTAAAGTCGGTCAATTTATTGTAAGCTTGGATCAATCTGATTGGATTATTACTGATTACAGATGAGAATCCAGCTATGCTCAATCATATCACGTGCTCCTTATTAGTTAACTTATAAAACTTCACTTATTTACTCCAATGTCTCCATTGTTACTCCAAACTTATTTAACCAATGTCCTATTGAGATTCACTATCTCTGGTGTTTCCTAGTGATGGGTTGCAGCTGGAAGAGTATTCGCTGCATAAAACATATGCTGGATAAGTTGGCGGTTCATTCTGCTGTGGCGACCCCAGATTAAAAAAGGGATTAAGCCGAAAAAAAAAATGAATGAATTTATTCCAAAGCGATGTGAGGGATAATATGAGGCATGCAAAAAGTAATATTTATATATTTACCTTAAAAATCCAGTAATATTATGTGAAAGCCAGAATGGTTTTAAAAAGTCTGTTGAGATCAGATTGAAGGTAATGCATATTGAATAAACACTTGCATTCCGATGACTAAATTTGCATATACAAAATAAAAACCAGAGAGAAATCAGTAACATTTTAGCATTATTTATAATACTACTACAATATTACTCTTTTTTATTACTAAAAATATATATTTGGAATATTATATATATATATATATATATATATATATATATATATATATATATTCCCAAAAAAATTTTATCTTGTTTTTTTTTAATAATTTTTAAAGGGAAATATTTATATTTAACATTAATTATATTTTAATTTAAGTCTTATGTATTTTAATTATATTTCATTTAATTTAGCTGCAAAAGCAACAATTATAATTTTTTTATTTTATTCAAATGTTTTATTTTTATTATTTTAATTAATTAATTTTAATACTTTTAGTTTTGGTTAATAGCAATGCCAAGTTTGCACAATTTTTATGAATAGGCACAAAACGAAAATGCCATTTTTCGCACATTATTTATCAGTTTATTCATTCATTTTCCTTCGGCTTAGTTTCTATTTCAGGGGTCGCCACAGCGGAATGAACAACCAACTATTCCAGTATATGTGTTATGCAGCAGATGCCCTTCTAGCTGTAATCCAGTCCTGGGAAACACCCATACACACTCATTCTCACACACACACACACACACACACACACACACACACACACACACACACACTACGGACAATTTAGTTGATTCAATTCACCTATACCGCATGGCTTTGGACTGTGGGGGAAATTGGAGCACCCGGAGCAAACCCATGCCAACTGGCCCAGCCGGGACTCGAACCAGCGACCTCCTTGCTGTAGGGCGACAGTGCTAACCACTGATCCACCATGCTTCCCCAGTTTATTTATATAAATCTTATTTATACATGATAAAAAACAAACAATCAGCTCTTACTAATTGAAAAAGGCTGAAATATTTAATAAATGAGCATGAATGAGGATTTGTCTGATGCTTCTTTAAAAAAACAAAAGTTATGACATCATCTTGAAAGTATTTAATCAGATGATATATAATTAGCGTGAGCTCATGTTATAACCCTCATCATCATCATGTAGATAAAAGCATATAAAAGGGAGATCTGCAAGTAGGCAGAAAATCCCATTCCCAGCTGTTTCTATGCAAGCAAGATGCCCTAACCTGGATGAGCTCCTCTTTGGAGCTGAAGTCAGACACCAGGACGTTTTGGCCATCCATGACGCGTGTGAGCGAAACACAGAGTCGTCCAGAGGAGAGTGTGTGTGCATTGGACGGCAGGTCGCGATACAGGCCTCCACGTATCACCTTGACTATGTTGAATGTTGGGTGCAAAGGGCCCAGATTACACTCAAAAAAATGAATTATGGCTTTAGTTGATCCAAAGAATGTAACTATGTTTAAATTAAACAATTCGCTTATGTTTGTGTATTAAAAATAAAAGTGTTGTGTTGGAAAAAATTAGAAAAAGTAAGTTTTCACATTTAAACAGCTCGCTTAATTAACATGAATGAAAGGGAGTTGTGTTGCTTCTGTAGTACTGCATTTTGGTCAATAGGTGGAGTAATATCTGCACATGCGCAGTTTCAAAACAACACAGGAAGTAAGAAGATTCAAACCACAACGATCACTCTCAGTTCGGCGCCATATTATGGGAATCAAAAGATGAAGATTACAGTACAAATTGAGAACGTGCACAAAGCTTTCCCCAATGTGGACACACAGGTGAGATTTTTTTTACTTTTTATGTATTTATACTGAGGCTGTGACAACATTTTAATCATAAATGTACTCTCTTGTAATACTATGTTGTGTTTGTGTATAGTATTGCTATGAAATTGCCATGTTCCCTGTGTCTTTTCCACATTATAGACAGATAAATGTATAGATTGTTTTGCATTCCTGTGAAATTTTATACTTGGTATATATTAACTCCCCCAAAATAAAGTTGCAAACGTTGGTAGTAAAGAATAGTCATGTTAGAATAGTCTAAGCTTTTCACTCATCATAGCACACGTGCTGCTGATAATGTGACAATAAAAGTGATTTGATTTTTTATTTGATTTGATGGTCTTTATTTTAAATGAGTATCAAGCAGTTTGTCGAGTTTGAATGCTAGTTTTGATAACTTACCTAATATTAATTAAAATGTGGTGTTAGCACAGTGTTATTTATTATTTAATTGTATTATTCAAGCCTGTTAACTTAAAAAAAACCCAGCAAAAATGCATTTGTGACACTTAAAAAGGATGACATCTAGTATGATGACATATTTAATGTAAGCTTATTTGTTTGGTCATCTAACACGTTTTAATTTGCTATTTATATTATTATATATTATTTTTTTACATTTTTGCTCACTCACATCTATTTTCTCCCTCACAGGTTTACAGCTCAACCTCTAAAGTCCCATATCTGGCTGAGGAGACTGTGGATCATCCAGGTACTATGCCTTTAGATGCCTATACACACATTAAAATGATGTACAGTAAAAATTACTAGTAATTTTAACTACTAATTGTTTAGTAAATTACTAATTGTCATTTCATGTCATTTAGAACATCACCAGTGGAAAAAAAGGTGTGAATGCATCCTCAAAGCCCCTAAGTGAGGGAGTACATGGTAAGTTATTTTATTTTATTTTTTTAAACATTTTGTATTTTCCTCTTAAACCAATTCCTCCTTTCACCTTTGATCTGTTGGTAATAGTTTTATTTTTTTACCTGACTTTTTTAGGATGCTGGGCATGATGAAGCGCAAACCTTGATGTGCAACACCACCTTATGAATCTACAGTAGTTACATTAACATTTAGCAGACTCTTTTGTCTAAAGTGACTTACAATTGAGGACACATTCAGCAAATCAACAAGAAGAGGCAATACATCCAAGATGTGCTAATTATAAAAATAAAATTAAGAATTAAGAATGCTTCTACATGTGGTTTGTCAAGCCCACACACCTGTGTGAAGCAGACTTCATGCACAATGTTTTGTTTTATAGATATAGGGAGTGGTTATAAGAAAGTGTCTGGTGCAAATGTGCATAAATGATGCAAGTGTCAGAGAGATGAATGTGTGTAGCTATTGCATGTTCTGTGATGGTTGGTCTAATTTATAGTGTAGTGCTGATCGTGTTACTTTGCTTTAAAATGTTAATCTTTCTTTGAACAACTGAAGTGTTATCTACTTTTTCAGTATAAAGAAGGTACAGTATAGTTTACAAAAGAAGACTTGATTTTTCTAAGTATATTTTTGATAAATCATTTGAAGGCAGAATATTATTTTTGGATGTTTTTGTAATATATGAAAAGTATTATTTTAAAAAGTGTATTTTATGATGTTTTTGTAAGCATATTTTTGTTAATCATTTATTGTTTTCAATTTGCTTCATACTTGTATTACTATTATTTTAATAGTATTAATATTTTAACTTATTGTAAAACTTATTGTATAAGTGAAGATACAGATAAAGACAGTATTTGGATTTTGATAATCATTTTATTGCTGGAAAATGTGTAAAACTGTAAAAATGCTATTGAATAAACTCAATGAAACGGAAACTGTTTTTTTATTTGGTTAAACATAACAATATCAATTTTAGAATAATTGAACTTAAATAACTACATTGATTAAAGCTAAATTATAAATGTTACGTTGATTGAACTAAACAACATTACATTACCTTTATGTAACTAACTTAAGTTCACTAAAATTAATATTCTTTCTTAAAGGTAACTTAACTCGGTTACGTGGAACCAGTGGACAAAAAAAAGTTAATTAACGCCAACATATCATTTTTTTGAGTGTACGCTTGCGTGCCTCCTTGGCAACATTGATGACGTCTTCACAACATTTCTCTACATAGGTGAAAACACACACAAATAATTAATTAAACAACCCACAAGAAGATTTTCAAGAACATGAAATGAACAAATATGACATGTAACGCAGATGTAATATGTTATTTTTCATCTTTGCTCTTACTATAACACACAACCTCTGAACATACGTAATAAACCAAAGGTTGATTAGCACCTGAATCAGCTTTCTCGTTCAGATATAACACGAAAGTGAAAGAAAGAAGTCATGCAAATGTATATAAACATGATCTAAGTGTTTAAGAATCAGTTAGTCCTCTTATAAACTCAATTCTTGAATGCTTTAGGAAGGAAAAACTACATTTTAGTTTGTTATCAATGATATTTTTGTATAAATTGACCAATGGGCTCTTGCTTAAATGCCCGATAGAGACAGCTCTTGGATTACACATGCAAAAAATCATTTTATTGCTCAGACACACAGACATGAGGAGCTTAGTCATGTTTTATCAATTTCCAACGAGACAATAAATAAAAAGGATGCAGATATCAAATATGACATAGTATTGAACTGAGAAGTGACTTCATGTCCCATTGCTGACTATTAGAAATGTTGCCAAGGCAACAAACTGAAATTAGTGTTCAGGATGAATAACTCAGATAAAAAATGGGGAAAAAATAAAATAAATACAAAATCAATAAAATAAAAACTGAAAATATAAAAAGAAAAATCTATTACAGAATATTAACAAACATATTCACAAATATGCATATATTATTTAAACAATATATGTATATATATATTAAATAATTTATGCATATTTTGATTATATTAAATAGACTTTCATCAGCATTATGAATGAAAGAAAATAGTATGTACAAATGTATAATTGTCTATTAATAATCCAAATTTCTCTTGTCCAGGATTACCTTTTTATTACTTTACTAATATTTTAAAAAGTGCAAATAATAACTATTAGTTACATTATAAAATAGTGAAATGAATATTAAAAACTGAAAATAGAAGGTTAAATTTAAATACTCCAGCAACTATATTGCATAAATATTACAATAGTTTTATAGAAACATGACATATTTAAAAATAACATCTTTATTATTATTTAATTAGCTTACCCACCAGCCTAAATCTCATTAGTTGCACATCATATCCAACTGATCTCCTATCAAACCAAAATTGAAAGTAAGCTTTCTACAAAGACTCAGTAGTGAGCATGGAGGCAGTAAGTGTTTAAGATAAATAACTAAAGTTTCTGAAAATAAAAGGATTATTTTAAATATAAATATATAAATACAAAATAAATAAATGAATACAAACTACAAATAACAATAAAAACTGAAGAAGATATAAAAATATAAAAAATATATTTCTAAATATTTACAAAAAAATAAAAAATAGAAATATTAATTCAAACAGTATATATATATATATATATATATATATATATATATATAATTACTGATAAAAATGGTCCATAAAAAAGTTCAAAAGAAAATTTAAATAGAATTGAAAACTAAATGTTCAAATTAAATACTCCTGTAAAAACATCAATATATTACATGTTATATTACATCATTATATTAGGCTATATGTTTAGTTTTTCATACAAAAAATTTCTGAGCACTTTTTGTTTAATATACAATACATACATACAGTGGCATTACCTATGCAAGCCTCTGTAGTGAGCACGGAGGCAGTAAGAGCCCCTGCCGAGGCTCCGTAGATCTTCGTGGCCCCGCGGATCAGATAGGGCGCCTGCTCCAGCAAACAGCTCGCCACACCGATGTGATAAATCCCCAAAAACCCGCATCCGGCGAACGACAGATTCCAGCCTTCTTTCAAATCAAACATGACTGCGGCTAAATCTCAGACTATCATGTCTTTTAAAGCCGTTTTGCTCGCCTCGGTGCAGAAAGGAGCGGTTGTTGATGTTGTTCAGAGTTTTGCTCTTGAGTTCATTGCCTTTGCCAGTACAGCAGCCAATAGGAAACAAGCCGCAGCCCCGAGGTTGCTAGAAGGGATACAGCTGCGGCCGGTAGTTACCGAAAATTATTTATTCATTTACCTATTAAATTAATATTTTATTAACGTCTAGTCCTACTCCAATCCTAAACACAGCCATCAAAGTAATGTAAAAATATTAAATATACCGAGTTTTATTCATATTATTTATTAAATTTCCCATTAAAAGTATTTTATTACCGTCTACTCCTATCTCAAACATAACTCTCACATTAATGTAAAAATATTAATTATTATTATTAATTATTAATTAATATACAGTGACACAAAATTATGTGCCTATCCGCAGCTGTATCCCTTTTAGACTTTACCCCGAGGAGTACGGCAGAACGCAGACATCGAGTTCATGAATGGGCGGTGCTTATTGTTACACGGTTGCAAAACATTGTCACGTGATTTTAGTAAAGTGAAAACATTTTCATTGAAAATATAGATTTTTTTAAACAATAAGGTTAAAAGGGATGCTCTTTGTTAGCTGCATAAAAACAAAATTAAAGTGTCTTACAACTTCATAGATTGTTGCCTGCTAAACTAATTTCATATAGGCTAGGAATTTTGTGGTCAAGAAAAAGAAACAAATTAGCCTAATTGTATAATTTTTTCATTGCATTTAAATAAGAATATTTTGGAAAGATTTGGAATTGTTTATTAACTAAAAAGAAAAGGGGTAAATTTGTTTATTTGATCTACTGTTTGATTCTGGTAATAAGAACTTGGACTGTAAAGGACAACGTTTAATTTGTTTATGTTAATAAAAAGTGGGCTCAATGTAAACCAAACTTTTCACGTTTTGTGAATGACTTCAAATATAAGTTGATCTTTTTATAACTATTACACAACAAAAAAGCACTGAAGACCTGTAATGCTCTGAAAACATGTAATTTCATGTAAACGTATATTATTTTATTTTATTTTTCTCCTTCAGAAAACTGTGAAAATGTATACATCTTGTTCTTATGGCATTGAATTAATAAACAAATGTGATTTGGGTACAGCTATTTTATTTAAATGTAATTCTTCAAAGTTCATTTTTTATTAAAACAGCCTATCAGCTATTTGTATAATGGGAAGATTTTAGTTCTTCTTATTCGTAACGACAAAACACCAATTTCCAATGCATTTATCAGTAGCTAATTAGTTTGAAACACAGCATTGGCTTTTATCATTAATTAACATATTGTGTATTTAAATTAATGCTTTAAAATAGCTGTTGAGTTATTGTGAATTAAAATTTAAAGGCCCAAAATGCTAACTTTATTGCAATATTGCACAGAATAAAATGCTTTACAATGGCTTTAGCAAGTTCAAGGTTTTAATACAATGTTTATGTTTTCTGACTGGCTTGATGAATATATAAATAAAAGTAAAACGAATAGTAGTAGGGTAAATATAGTCTAAATATAACGGCCAAACAATCTCCTGCTGGATTCTGAAACATCCTATTTAATTAGACATTTGACAATCACGAAGACTAAAGCTACAATTTAAAAACTGAAAACATATTTCAGAAAATCTAATTGCAAACAATGTAGCCTATGTTAATAAAAATCGTACATCTACATAATTAATGACTTAATCGGTTAATATAGGCTCTTTAATAAAGCCGACGTTAGATGAAACTGATAAAAATAGTACACACTAATGCAATAACGCTAATGAATTCAACGTTCTCACTCTCAGCATCCAAACATTCTATAGTTGTACCTCAAGAAACGTGCTGTTTATTTACACAACGCTGGAGGAACCGCCCGACGACTGGTGCTGATGCTGAGAGGATCCCATTACATCATCTCTCCTGCGTCTGATTGGCTGAAGGTCAAGGCGCACGCGAAGCAGCACGTCTCTGCCAAACAATCAGGCGCTGGCGGATATCAAATGCGCGCTTTTCTCCACAAATCTTTTTAAAAAGCGTTCCCTTCGAGCTTTTTGCGTGCTGTGATCGTTCGAGAGGATGGCGGAAAGCGAGGTGGACACGCCGAGCACTCCGATTGAATACGAGAGCAAATACTTCGAGCATCATGGAGTTCGACTACCTCCCTTCTGCAGGGGCAAGATGGACGAGATCGCCAACTTTTCGTTAAGAAGTAGCGACATATGGATCGTCACATATCCCAAATCAGGTATTCAATCGCGTGCATTAGGATACTACACTGTATATTGCATGCTTTCGCTTTGTATTGGATGCATTTATCAGAGATGTGCTACCAAAATAGAGCGTCCTCTGGTATATTTTTAGTATCACCCGACGTCACTTTATGTTTTTTGCACATGTATTTTAGACAATATAACATGGATGTTTCAGATAGCCTGTGAATATAATAAATACATCTATTAATATACTATTATAGAGGTTATGCTTAGTTAAAAATAAATGTATTTAAATAAAATGTTTACATATATGTATGACTCAATAATGGACAACAGATTTAAATAAGAAGCATTTTCAATATATTATGATCCACTTAATCATGTCCGGCCCACCCTGAGAGACTTATGGCCACCTATAGTTGCAGGCCTGAGGTAAACAGCTGAGTTTAATTTAAAAGCAAGCTGTTTAAGTTGCTCATATTTGAGAAATCGTGGTCCATAACAATGATAACCTGGTTTTTGTTTGTGTTGTGTGTGAAATAATATGAAATAAAAGGCAAAAGGTTTGCCGTGCAGGCCCACACGTGCTCATTCACTGCAGAGGCGCTGTTTCCTGTTAGGATGTAGCTCTCTCTCCCTCATGCATGCTTGTTGCTATGTCGAATTACTTGTGTTATAAGTCCTCTGACAGTAAGAGGATTTTATTGCTGTCCTGCATGCTAATTTGTATTAATGTGGCCCTAAATTTAAAGGCTGCAAATTTGATCTCCTATCCAAAGTCTAAAAACACTTTATAATAATATTTTTATATCCATTACATCATCATCTCCTTTTTCATAATTTCAGATTTTTTAAGTGTCCTTACTCTGATCTGATTGGTCAGAAGGCCTAGTTTGTTGTGATTGCTTGACAGCTCACATGTACATGCTGGAAAGCAATATATACACATCAATTCAAATGTCATTTTGAAATTTCTGTCAATGCCTTTCATTCACAGTTCTTTCACGCTAGTTCATTCAAGCCATTAACTCCATATTCTTTTTTCCTACTTTAAATGCTACCAGTTTACTTAACTATCTGCAAACTTTTGTGTTCAGCAAAAATGGGTTGGAACCTGAGAGTGAGTAGATGGGTGAACACTTTCTCTTTAATTAAGGGAATCTAATTGTAAAATGTAAATGCAAAGACAACTTACCTTTTCCTTTAACATAAGTAAAAGTCTAAATGGATGCATTAGTTTATAACAACATAGCATTGTGCAGTTATAAATAGACCATTGAGAGATAGACAGACAGACAGACAGACAGACACACATACAGCAAGATAGTAAGAATGATAGTGTGAGGATCTGAAATCGCTTGGCTTTGCAGAGAGTGTTTTGTCGCACCAGCATCTGTGTAATTAAGTCCGGAGAGTCAAGGGAAGGCAGAGTCCTGCTGAGTGTTACGCACTGAAATGTGTGTCTCCAGCGGGCCATGATGGATCACGGGTCAATACAGCTATACGTCATACCAGTCGAATCTGCAGAGTAAACATACATTGTCTTGCTGATAGTTGTGGTGGGAATGGCAGAATCAAACATTACAGGCTTCCTGATATTTTCCAGGCTTCATATAATTTGATTAAACTCAGTGTTGTCAATGTTACAGATTTAAATGACTTTCTGAAGAAAATCTGGGTTTATTTCATGTTATTTTGGAAGACACAAACTATGTACTCAAAAAGCTACGGGTACACTTTCCTTTTTCTTCTTTTACATTTCACAGTTAGGAAAGGAGGGAGAAAAACAGATTTAAAACTAATCTATGAGTGCATGTCATCATCATACACAAACGTTTTTATGTCCTTAAAACCTTTGATTCATAAATTTGTTCCAGATCTTTAACTCCATTACTGTCACCTCACATCAATAAGTGATATATGCATATTATACAATGCATCTTTTGTCAGTTCAGGTTTAGACCACTCTTTTTTTTTTTTGTCGATTTTTTATAAATGCACTGAAAAACATCCCGCCTGCAGCACAGTAAAAGTTATAACACAAGATTTATTTTCATTCATTTTCCTTTGGCTTAGTCTCTTATTTATCAGTGGTAGCCACAGCGGAATGAGCCGCCAACTATTCCAGCATATGTTTTATGCAGTGGATGCCCTTCCAGCCGCAACCCAGTACTGGGAAACATCCATACACTCTCACATTCACACATGCACAACGGCCAATTTAGTTTATTCAATACACACATAGAGCATGTCTTTGGACTGTGGGGGAAACTGGAGCACCCAGAAGAAACCCACGCGGACGCAGGGAGAACATGCAAACTCTACACAGAAATGCCAACTGACCCAGCCAGGACTTGAACCAGTGACATTCTTGCTGTGAGGCATCAGTGCTAACCACTGTGTCGCCAAGATTTATTTTTGTTTACAAGATTATTTTTGGAATCTGTGTAGCAAATCCAATTGGTTATGGCAGTGTTAAATATAACTTCACTACATTTTTCAAAGCACAACTGGTTTTGTTTTTGTATTTAAGTGGTTTATGTGTGTAATGATGTTCCTCATGAAAGTAGGCATGATGAATTCAAGACCTTTAATCTTCTCTTAATGATTTGCTGAATTCAGACTTCAGTATGAAATCTCTTAGGAAAAAACACATATTTGACATTTAAATCATTCAGGTAATTCTGAAATTGCATATTATAAGTTCATACTAAACAAATATTTCCCAGGGATGGGTTGCAGCTGGGAGGGCATCCGCTGCGTAAAACATGTGCTGGATAAGTTGGCGGTTTTTTCGCTGTGGCGACCCCGGATTATTAAAGGGACTAAGCCTGAAGGAAAATGAATGAATAACCAAATACGCTGACTGTTTAACTACACAAACTGTTCCCAAAAACAAACTTTTCACTGAAGAAAGAAAGAAAGAAAGAAAGAAAGAAAGAAGGAAGGATAGAAGGAAGGAAGGAAGGAAGGAAAGAAGAAATGAAAGAAGAAAGGAAGGAAGGAAGAAGGGAGGGAAGAAGAAAGAAAGAAAGAAAGAAAGAAGGAAGGATAGAAGGAAGGAAGGAAGGAAGGAAGGAAGGAAGGAAGGAAGGAAAGAAGAAATGAAAGAAGAAAGGAAGAAAGACTACAGAAACAAATTTTTAAAAGTGTAGATAAATTAAATAGTTCTAAGAAGTTCGATGGAGAACATTAACTGTCTAAAAGCCCCAAAGTCATTTGATTCTGCTGTTGCAGGTTATGATTGCATGTTACAGAATTATTATTAAACAAATAATTGAATTAGTTCACAATCATTTACATAACAATATTCATTCATTCATTCATTCATTCATTCATTCATTCATTCATTCATTCATCCATTCATTCATTCATTCATATTCCTTCAGCTTAGTCTCTATTTCAGAGGTCACCACAACAGAAAGAACCGGCAACTTATCCAGCATATGTTTTACGCAGCGGATGCCCTTCCAGCTACAACCCAGTATTGGGAAACACCCATACACACTCTTTCACACACATACACTACGGCCAATTTAGTTTATTAAATTCACCTATAGTGCATGTCTTTGGACTGTGGGGGAAACCGGAGCACCCAGAGGAAACCCATGCAAACATGAGGAGAACATGCAAACTCCACACAGAAATGCCAACTGGCCCGGCTGGGACTCAAACTAGAAACCTTCTTGCTGTGAGGCAACAGTGCTAACCACTGAGCCACCATGCCAACCTGTATAACAATATATGGTTTAGAATAACATGACTGTGCTTTTTTTTTCGAAAGGGCATCACAAGGCACTGCTTTTACTTAGTTAATTTATTCTCACCTGCACGTCCACCAGTAAATAAAACTGCTGAATACGGTTGTAAGAATGGCTTTTGAGGTCATGCTTGTGTTATTAGTTTTTTTTTTTTTTTTTTTTTGTGCTCCCATATGACCTAAAACTCATCATGCAGTAAGCAAATAGCTGACCTGGCACTATACTCTCTTCCCCTCAACTAAACAGAAGTAGATGTTTGCATGCAAGTCTGCTTGTTCAGTGTTAAATGGGCTAAAAGTGAAAGAGGACACTGTTAAGCCTGCTATAAAACACACACACACACACACACACACACACACACACACACACACACACACACACACACACACACACACACACACACACACACACACACACACACACACATATATATATATATATATATATATATATATATATATATATATATATATATATATATATACACGTAACAATGGAGAAAATAAAATGGGTTTAATTATATATACCAGTGTCAAACTTGCAGGATTCAGGACTTCAGAGGATCAAGGGCTTAAAGGCTCTTTTGTCAGTTGTCTAATGCTCGTCATGTGTTAAACCTCCTTGGACTATTACATGAAAACTCTTCAAATTGATTTGTTATGGCTAACGAGCATTACGTGTGTACGAGTGTTTTCTTCGAATGTGACATTTCACTGTTGGAACATGAAAATAAATGAAGCCTCTCACTTAATGAACTCAAGGCCTTCTTTGAGAGATGAAGGGACATCAGCTGGTACACACATTACTGAAAATGAAAAAAAAGAATCGTTAACAAGAAGTCTAAAAAAATAAAGCCAGATTTTAAGTTAAACTAAAAGGCTATGATTCAAGTAAATACATGTGTTTACATACGTGTTTAAATACTCTTAGTAACTCATACGAAATCAAAGATGTGATGATATAGAATGAAATGAAATGAAATGAAATGAAATTAAATGAAATGAAATGAAATGAAATTAAGTCAGGTTTCTCTCTTACGATATACTTGCTTTATATCGTATATCAATCAGGTCAAATTTATTTTATATATATATAATATTTTATATAAATATTTGTATTTCTTATTTGTACAATTAAAAAAGTCAACAATGCACATATTGCATATAAACCATCCAGATATATATATTCATATCGTCACCTTAGAATTATAAGGTTCTATCTGACATTTTTGTCAAAGTTGAGTTATTGACATATTCTTATTAAATGACAACTTATTTACACTATGGTATGTTTTTTATACGTTGTTTACATTTTAAGATTTTTGATTTAAAAACAAATGTTACACACACTGTTATATTTATGGAATGTAAAAACTTTAAAGCTCGTTATCTTAAAATCATTCAGACTGCAGATAGAGCTTATAATTCCAGTGTGACGATATAACTTCAGAATTGTTATTGTTTACTTTCCACTTATGTAAATGTCATTCTGTGTTCTTGTGTTGATATGAATGTGTTTCCTGAGCTCCTGAAAAAAAAACCCAAAAAATTCCTTGTGTGTTTGCACACACTTGGGAAAGACAGCTCCTGATTCTGATACTGTAAAGCTGCTTGCTGTTTGAAGTAAAATTAAAATATCTCACAAATGCAGGTACGAGTTTGCTACAGGAGGTGGTGTATCTGGTGAGTCAGGGGGCGGATCCAGATGAGATCGGGCTCATGAATATTGATGAGCAGCTTCCAGTGCTGGAATACCCACAGCCGGGATTGGAGATTATCCAGGTAAACCCTCTTTATCACATGCATATCGCATTTACTGAATCAATGGTGGAAATAACGTTTACTTGTGTTTTGGTAGGAACTGACATCGCCTCGTCTGATCAAAAGCCACCTGCCGTACCGTTTTCTGCCATCAGCCATGCACAATGGAGAAGGCAAGGTCAGCTGTAAAACACAATGAAAACAAATGAATCATAATTGAATATCTGGCTTGACTACCATTAAGGCCTATTTAAAAAAAAAGAGGGTTTTGTGGTTCAGGATCACATATAGACATTTTAAAAAACAAACACTTAAAAGTAATGAAAACAAAAACATGCAACAACTATACTAATCTTTATCTGAAATTAAAATTAAAACAGAAATGCACTGTAAAACCCAACAGTCCACTTTATCAAATGAAATGAGTTTAGTTAACTCAAATTGACTGAAAATTAATTCTACTCATTTGAAAAGAGTTTTGAACTCAGTGTTGAAGGTAATGAGTTAATTAAATACCTCATTACTTCAACTTCAATGGAGTAAGTTCACAGTACTCACACAGATTAGTTTTTAACTCAAATGGTTTGTTGCAATCGGTTTCCTCAATCAGTTTGAGTTGCCTTAACTTATTGGGTTTTACAGTACTCATATATATATATATATATATATGTATATATGTATGTATGTATGTATGTATGTATGTATGTATGTATGTATGTATGTATGTATGTATGTATGAGTACTGTAAAACCTAGTACTGTAGTACTGTATATATATATATATATATATATATATATATTGCAATACTATATAAATAAATGCGTCTTCACACACCCTTATCAATGTATGTCCTGCAGGTGATTTATATGGCGAGGAACCCTAAAGATCTGGTGGTTTCCTACTACCAGTTTCACCGCTCTCTGAGAACCATGAGCTACAGAGGAACCTTCCAGGAGTTCTGCAGGAGATTCATGAACGACAAACGTGAGTGACCGAAAACGGAGAGATTTGCTGGGAAGTAGATCATATTTCAAGACTTATATCTGTTTGTGGTTCCTTTTAGTGGGATACGGCTCCTGGTTTGAGCATGTTCAGGAATTCTGGGAGCATCGCATGGACTCCAATGTTCTCTTTTTGAAATATGAGGACATGTACAAGGTATTTCTTCAGTTGAGATAAACAATCTTTCTTTATTTGAAATATTATAGTGTTGTAATATACTAGCTGCAGTGTCTATTGAGTTTTATTAAATAATTTATTCTTAAATGATTATTATTATTCCTTGATACTTTAGGTAATTGTACACTATTTCACATATTTCAGTAAGCAAGTATTTTATTTCTGTTTTGAATCTCCAGCTCTACTGCCAGTGTATTATCAGCACTGATCGCTCATTATCACACTTATAGTACATTTCATTCCTCACAGTTCCTAGAAGCAGGAGAAGGGAATCACTGATAGTCACTCTGCTTAAATATGTGCTTTCCATATCTTTACGGGATAACGTGATTAAAAGAGCTCAGAGTCCAGCAGGAAAAGCATAGAACCACACAGTCATGCTGCATTTGAGGCAAACCTATAGATAGAACAACATGTTCCTGCAGTCTGTAGTTCAGGAGCCGGTTGGAGGTCAGAGATTCATCATAGGAAATGCATTAGTGATAAGAAGAAATGTTATTTAAGCAACAAATTAGCATATTCTAATAATTTCTGAAGGGTCGTGTGTCACTGAAGACTGCATAACAAGAATAAATGAATTAGTTTAAAGTAAAAAAGTATTTAAAAAAACATTTATAATACAGTTTTTTATAATAAATTGATATTTAATATGAAATTCATGCAAATTACTGTATTATACATTGAATTTTTTTTATTGATACAAATTTTATTACATAATGATAAAATATAAAGTAATATAATAATATTGTGCACCTCTCTATAAAAATATAACTGTTCTTCTGGCTTAAAAAAAAAATGTTTAATTACTAAATTACAACATGAATATTTATTTTTATTATTATAAAAATAAATAAATAAACATTAAGTTTTAGTATTATTATTATTAGTGATGAAAAACTGATTTATTACTGACAATTTATATTTTTTATAAATTAGATTATTGGAAAGATAAACTACATCAACACAATAATATTGTGTGCATCTATGCATCAAAACAATTAATAAGATAACAAATATTAATTTTAATCAAATGAAATCAATTGTAAAAACAAAAAGCAAGCATTAGGTGAATTATTTAATTTTATTTTGTGTAAATTAAATAAATCTGAAATTACTGAGTATTGAAGTTATTTAAATAGTGTATACTAGTGAAACTAATTTGTCAAAAAGTAAAGTTGCACATGCCTGAATTTGTTGCTCTACATAATGGACTATTTGCCATAAAATTGTAATAATAATAATAATAATAATAATAATAATAACAATAATAATAATAATAATAATAACAACAACAACAACAACAACAACAACAACAACAACAATAATAATAATAATAATAATAATAATAATAATAATTATTATTATTTTGCCATAAATAACATCAAAGTAAATAAAAAAACAAAATCCCCTCCACCTCAAGATTCCTGAAATCACTAATTTTAGTAAATTATGTAAGCTAAATATCTTTTGATGTATTATCAGTGTAAGACCAAGGTGTGAGTGCCACAGTTACATAACGGACAGATAGTGATTGTGTGTTTTGTTTGTCTCTGGAGGATCTGGGCACTCTGGTGGAGCAGCTGGCTCGATTTCTGGGCGTCTCGTGTGATAAAGCCCAGCTGGAGAGCCTGGTGGAGAGCAGTAACCAACTCATCGAGCAGTGCTGCAACTCTGAGGCCCTGTCCATCTGCCGCGGTGAGAGACAAAACACAACCGCAGCTCAAAATTACACAGCACTTGATCCTAAGCAAACTGACCCAGAGCCTGTCATTAGAGGAGTTCTGGCTAACATATCTTTTTTTATATTATATTATATTATATTATATTATATTATATTATATTATATTATATTATATTATATTATATTATATTATATTTATTTTATTGTATTGAATTGTATTATTATATTATATTATATTATATTATATTATATTATATTATATTATATTATATTATATTATATTATATTATATTATATTTATTTTATTGTATTGAATTGTATTATTATATTATATTATATTATATTATATTATATTATATTATATTATATTATATTATATTATATTATATTATATTATATTATATTATATTATATTATGTGGTTCATTCCGCTGTGACGATTCCTGATAATTCAGGCACTAAACCAAATGAAAATGACTGAATGAATTATATTTTGTAATGTAAGGCTCAGTATGTTAATTTATAAATATATATAGGAAATTTCAAAGATATTTTTAATTTCACCCTTCACATACCAAATTGTAATTTGTTTTCTTTTAATATATATTTCTACCTTATGGAATTGTATTGTGATGCAAGAGAACTCTCTAGTCTTTACCAATACACGTGCAAGCATAAATTAATTGAAAATGTGCACAAATTTGGTTAAAAGTGAGTAAACTTTACCACATTTCACACGCATGTCTGTCTGTCTGTCTGACTATCTGTCTGTCTGTCTGAGAGAAATGTGGCTTGCTTTCCTCATAGGATTGATGACTTGGCCTTCAGATCATTTTGGTTAGATTATTGGTTATTCAAGTGAATGCAGTGCCATCGTGTGGTAAAAATATAAAGTGCATCTTTATTTTTGTGGAAATTGATTTGTTGTCTTAAGTCTTATTTTTTTATTCTGTACATTTTATGTTAAACTCGCTTTTTACATAAACGTTTGCAGTTTATTTGAGGTTATTCTATCATTTGCACTTTAGTTCTGTTTTGTTGTTGTTTTCTTGTGTCTTGTTCATTTTTCTTTTAGTGCATGGATTCTTGGCTTGGCATGATGATGAAAAATCTCACAGCATACAGTAGGGGTTTGTTTAATAAACAGTGCACATGAAGATGGAAAAATATGTGAGAGAGGAACTGAAGGTGAGTGTGGGAGATGGCAAGTCTTTTAGGAATGTTCTGGGTTCTAATATAGTGTTTACTGCATTTTGAAATGTGCAAAATATAAAATAAAGGTAAAATTAATTGCTGTAAAATAAAAACGCTTGATAAAATACAACATAAAATCATAAAATAAAAGGTAATGCAATCAAAAGCAATAAATGTGATCCCATAACATACGTTAATTGCAATGTTAACAAATAAATTAACAAAATATTCCCATGAAATAAAATAAAAACAAACTTCCCATGTAATTAAACAAGACCAGTGTTCTGGAGGGAATAAACATGAAATGGGAAGCATGTTTTTAAGTTCTTTTCAAAAATAAGTACAGATATTGTCTGCTCCAGCACTCTAACCATTTTATTTTTATATATGCATTCATTATTAAAATATGTAATTTTTGTAATTGTAATGTAATGTGCATACATTGTAATGTAATTAATATGTACTCTTTTTTTACAACTCAAAATAAAGATTTCCTCAATAATAGTTTTCTAAATAGTTAAACATATGACCCACAACCTTTAGTTATGTCTATCTTTAACTAGTAGAATCCCTGTTGTATCATATAATTGCACAACACCATCAAAATTATTGTCACTTTGTTGTCTTTTAGATATTTTTTTCTTATTTCTTTTAGTTTGGCTGTAATAAAAGCAGTTTGAACACTTCAAAAAATAAAATCAAGGTTATTAGCCTCTTAAAGGAACACTCCATCTTTTTTTTTTTTCAAAAAAGGCTTATTTTATAAGACGCAATGCAATCTTAGATAAATGCAAGTTGAGCTGCATGCAATGCTTCGAATGTGCACACCTACCCTACACAGTGACATTACTAGGTCCATTGAGTGCATTGTGTCTGAGACTGCGTGTCTCAAGATTGTATATGCAAGTCAGCAGTTAGATACTTTCGGAGAGTCTTCTAGAGGTAAGCAGTTGACTTGAACCATTTTTGAAAGAATTCAGCCAATTTCTAACCTGGTGGGAACAGGTTTAGCTCAGCTTAGCACAATGAATTGAATCGGATTTGACCATAAGCATTTCATTCAAGAGATGTAAAATGTAGAATTAAATAAATAATTTTCCAAATTAAAGCTCATTAAAGAATGATATTATAGTTCCTAGCGCAATGTTTGCCTGGACAAATAGATTTATTTTTTATTTTTCCGTCAGTTTAATTACATGTTGAACTACAACAGGAAAATTATCAAAACTCTTGTATTATTTTTTTTAACAAAATACAAATAGTCAAATGCGATTCAATTCATTATGCAAAGCTAAGCTAAGCTAAAAGTAACCCTGCCAGAACAAATCGGCTGAATGCATTCAAAAATGGATCAAGTCAGGTGTAAGACACAGGTGTAAAATGAGCCTTTTTTATAACTTGCCTATATTAACCTAAGTTAAGCCATGTAGTTAACCTAGTTAAGCCTTAAATTTCAATTTAAACTGAATATGAGCATCTAAAATAACTAGTAAAATATGATTTACTGTCATCATGGCAAAGGCAAAGGAAATTAGTTTTAAGAAATTTGTTATTAAAACTTTTATACTATTATTTTTTAAAATCTTCTGTTCATTAAACAGCATATTTTGAAATGGTTGGATGTGATAATAATACAACTTTTTTAAAATAATTTTGCCTTCAACTGTGTGTGTCATATACAGTAATTGTGCTACACTTTGCATTAAAATCAGAAGCTTACTTAATGCTTTAATATGATTCTGTCTACAATCTTAACTGTTTTCATCCTCCTCAGGTCGTGTCGGTCTGTGGAAGGACGTTTTCACCGTGTCTATGAATGAAAAGTTTGACGCCATTTACCGCCAGAAGATGGCAAAGTCTGACCTGACCTTTGACTTTATCCTGTAAAGCAGCGACACTGGACCAACCAACCAACCAGTTCACCCACATTGCTTATTAATGTCACCCGACGGACATTTCCTTATGCAGATTTGATCTTTCCATCCCTGCCATCTCTCGCTCATCACTGCTCTTACAATAGTAACTTCTTAATACAGATACGCAGGCTTTTTTTCCCTCTTGTGTGTATTTGTATGAACAGTGCATCAGCAGTGCTAGTAATGGTGAGCACAGTGCTTGTTGCGTTTGCACATTGTACAGAGCTATTCCATATCCCAAAGGCGCTATTGAAAAATGTATTTATTAAAAATCAGAAATGGAAAAAAAGATATATCGACAAACTCAGAGAATATTTCGTCGTCTCAGGAGGATTCTTGAAATCATTGGCTATTAGATTCACCAAATATGCAGTCATCCAATCACAGCTCAGCCGAGCCTCACGATGAATGCTGATTGGCTCCTGGCCAAATATCTTCAAGTGTGTGTGGAATGTCATTTCGCTTTTTTCTTCTTAGTAGCTTTGAATTATAAACTAGAACAGCTATTCACTGAAGCCCAATTATGTTTTATTTTGTACATTTATTGAATTATCTATTCATATTTAGATTTGGAAACATTTCTTTAGTCCAGTATAATGTATAAAGGATATTTTGAGAACATTTAGTTCATTTCCTATCATGACCTGATGCTTCAAAAGTGTTGCTATGAGAAGTTCATTTCATTATTATGTCTTGGTCAAACACATAAAAACGCATAAGGTGAACTTAAATACCAGCACTCATAATAACATGACTTATAACCTCACATATCCAACAAATGGCTGCGGCTGCATTCAGAATGGGATACTAGCATACTATATATTATGTTGAATTTAATTCAGGTTAATTTGTAAAGCACTTATTACAATACTTATAGATTCAAAGCAGCTTTTCAAAGGTGCAAATTAATGCATTACAATCAAATTACGTTCAAGTTAAAATTATATATAGGTTATTATATAAACCTAGTTAACCTGCATTTTCATAGTTGAAGTCAGAATCATCATCAAATACATGTTTAATAAAGAAACAGGCAGTTAATTAATGTCTAAAAGCATTTTAGAGATAATGTTGTGTTTCCAGGTTGTTTGATACAAATAAACCAATCTGGTTTATTTTGTTTTCAGTTTTCTGCACAGAAAAATTAATTGAATGTATTTTGAATACATTGAATATAGATACATATTCTCAAATGTGCTGACTGCAAAAATAACTTTGGTGGAAAAGCCAGTAGGAAATTCAATATTTAGTGCATTACACTGACAAAAGTGGAGTAAAAACTATTTTCATGTAGAAATTTAGTATATATCACAATTATTTGCAAATGGAAAAGAATACGCCAAAATAAAATGATATAAAAGACTGTAATAGTATTTTTTAAACATACATCAGTGATCTTTAACATCAAGAAATATTACACACTTCAAAATGTACATATACTGTGCACAGTAAAGTATACTACAAAGTAATTATAAACAATTCCTTCATCATTTGTCCATATATAATATTTACAGTACGCTGGTATGCTATTCTGAATTCAGACATCAGCTCGAATCAGGAAGAGAACTTCTGTTTAAATAGAAGAGATGCTGTGATGTCATAAAGTCTTGAAGCCTCACGTCCAATCAGGAGGCTGCGTCATTACAGTCATTCGGTTTATTCCTCAACAAATCTTCTCTTATTCACAACTATATTAGCCTGATTCCCTGAATGTCTTCACTCAACAGCAAACTCGCAGGCTTGTACTAGTCTGTGCTGTCTTAATGTAAAGCATTGTTATCTCTTCAGTTGTGCTTGCTGGTTTATTAATAAAGTGACATCTTCAGGCCTTGAGGATCAGTTTGCTTTGTATTTGTTCTAACGGATAATATTTATTAAGTGATTTGTTTTTTCTTTCGCCTCAATGCGTGGATACTGTTTCAGAATGAAAGGCGGCTAATGCAGTGGCTTAAATCTAAGATGCTGGATTAACAACAGTTGGAAACTGATGCATGCTGAGTACAAAGAGCTTTCTGAACAATCACAGATGGCACCAAAGGACAAGTTAAGTTCCTATGGCAACAAATCAGAGCCTCTGATGTATACGTGTGTCCTTTAATCAGCCTGTCAGATATTACAAAGTAATCATACGCTCTTAAAATTAAAATAAACGTTCCAGTAGGGGATTTTATTATTTCAGCGATGCCACAAAAGAGTCATTTTGGGTTCCACAAACTATTTTTTCTAAGTGTGAATAATCGTTTCCACTTTAAATTATCTTTTGTGGATTGAAAAGACTTAATCAATGATAAAGATTCTTGCACCACTTTTATAATGTTACACAACACCATCCTCTTGTAGCGTCCTCTGTAAAAATCCTCTTTGAAATTAATAAATGAATAAATTTGAATCTAATATTGAAAGATCAGTAAAAATGTAAAGAAATTAAAGACTGATTTGAGTACATTTAACAGAGTGTCTCTCTCCTACTGCATCATTAATAATTTAGAAACAACTCGTATGGTGGATTTCCTAAAGAACCCCCTGCGGTGACTGTCTGCTGTCAGCTGTTCATTTTTCACTTCTTATTATGATTTCCATATCACTACTCAAATATCATCTTTTCACACATGCCAGATGCATACAAATGTGATATAAAGAAGGCTCCAATCTGGGTCTTAAAATATATTAATAAATCACACAGCATATTAGGAAGAGAGCAAGAGAGTGTTAGGACTATTAATCAGACGTGTGTCGACACCACTAGAGGGCAGTGCAGTATAGGGCCACATACAATACTAAAAGAAATACATGCAATAAATAAAAAAAATTAAAATAAAAATACAAAAAATAAACAATAATAATAATAATAATAATAATAATAATAATAAACAGAAGATAACAAAACTGGTGTTTTTATAAACATATCAGACAAAAAATGTTCTGTTTAAAACACCTTAAACCACATAATTTCATGCTGAACTGATAAAAACACAATTTAAACAAATCTTAATCCATTAATCTATATTGAGATATATTAATGTCTTTAAACAGTTAAGTAACAATGAGGGCAGTATATTTTTTATGAGGGCATATAACTTTTATATGATGATATTACAATTGAAAGTGCAAACTATAATGAAATAAAACAAATAAGACTTTCTCCAGAAGAAAAAATATTATCAGACATACTGTAAAAACTTCTTTAGTCTGTTAAACATCATTTGGAAAATATTTAAAAAAGAAAAAAAAATCAAAAGGGGGTTAATAATTCTGACCTTAACTATTAGCTTTAATGTTGAGTTTTCTGATTTTTTTATTAGCTATTTAGTAATAATTTAAAGTTGATGTTTATTAATTGACTTCTGAAATGAACTGAATTAAATGATTATTGAAAAACAAGATTGATACTTAGTGTATTATTGTTATATTTTAGGGTAGCACAGTGGCTCAGTGGTTAGCACTGTCGCCTCACAGCAAGAACGTGGCTGGGTCAGTTGTCATTTCTGTGTAGAGTGTGCATGTTCTCTCCGTTTTTGTGTGGGTTTCCTCTGGGTGCTCTGGTTTCCCCCACAGTCCAAAGACATGCGGTATAAGTGAATTAAAGATAATAAATTGGCTGTAGTGTATGTGTGTGATTGTGAGAGTGTATAGATGGGTTGTGGCTGGAAGAACATCCGCTGTGTAAAACATATGCTGGATTAGTTGGTGGTTCTTTTCACTGTGGTGACTTTTTTTTTTCACCTGAAAATTGACAAACAGATTTTATTAATTAATTATCTATTTAGTTTTATAAAAAATAATAATAATAAAATGAAAAAATAAAATAAGAAATAAAAATAAATAAATAAAATAAAAAATAAAATAGAAAAAATAAAAATAAATAAATAAAAAATAACTAAATAACTAAATAATAATAATAAATAAAAGCTAAATAATCACACAAGAGTCGAAATGTTTCTAAATCTACTGCACTTTCTGCTCATTATTACAGCATTGTAAGTTCATCCTACTTTCAGTGTTCCCAGCTCTCCAACAGAATCCATACAGAATAGCTGAGAGTGTGTGGGATACAAGACAGAAAGTGCATGTATATACAACAGTCAATGTGTCTTTCTACATCTGTATTACTACTCTACAAAACAACCCGCTGTTTCCATGAACAACTCAGATACTGACAGCCCTGTGCATTTGAGAGTTTAAAAGTATATACACTGCTCTTGTTTTTCAGCAGACACTTTTCCACAAGTTCTACTGCAACAGAAAGTGCAACTAAGCAAACCAGATAGAGAGAGCGATGGAGAGAGAGAGAGAGAGAGAGAGGTGTAAAGCAGCTGTGATATTGTGTTTGCTGTGTCAGTGTGTACAAGCAACCCTTTCTGCCCATGCTGCTCATCTCATCAGACACTATATAGAGTTCTCACTGTCAGAGAGATGCAATATTGTTCCCTTCAGCCCCGGTCATAAAAGCTGCTCTGTATTTACAGGCTAGGAATGGCCTGATAGCCGCAGGCTCAAAAGTCTTACTGCATATTGCAAACTTGCATCTGTGATATTTTAGTTATAGCTGCTCTGTGCCGTCTGCTGTTGTACAAAAATGTCAGTAGATATTTAGCTGGACAAGATTAGATGAGCTTTTTTAAAACTGTGACTTGTGGTTTTGCATAATTCGCCATTTCAGCCAGAAGTTCATAACTATCATGCAGTCATAAAAAATGGAGCTTTTTCTGCAATTAAAATTAGTTTGATGAAACTGTTGATGTAAAACGGATGAAATATTAATTAAATAAAATATATCATTGCTGCACTTTTAAAAAAAGATAAATATTTAGAAATATAGATATTAAATAGACTAATAGACAGATTTTTTTGGAACTAATAAATAGCTGCCATGAATAAGATTTCATGAGGTTCATAGCTGTCAGTGACTTACAATGACTCTGTAAAAGAAAATATTTTTCTTTTTTTTACTTAATTTCAAGAGTTCACACTTAGCTGATGATGGATAATAAAACCTGTTTGGCATACTGTCCCAGTAGAGAACCCTGAGCTTATGAGATTCTCAAGCCCTGGGCTCCCTCCTGTTTGCAGGGCGAGTAGGGAGTTTGAGCTCAGGTAGATTTTGAAGAACTCCCCCCGGCTTGTTTCTGGCTAATGACAGATGTAGGATGGCTGAGGAGAGGTGCATGTACTCGCTAAAAGCTTGGCTATGGTATCAGGGTTGCGTGTTTTTTGGACTGTGGGAGGAAAGCGGAGAACCCAGGGAAATCCCAAGCGAGCACGGTGAGAACGAGCAAACTGCGCACAGAGATGTCAACTGCAGGAACTTTAACCAGAGACATTCTTGCTGTGAGGCAACAGTACTAATCACTGGGCTGCCGTGTCGCCCGTCTGAAAAGGAAAGGGAGTCGGAGTGGTATGGGGGATTCTTCAAGATGAAAATTTTGAAATAAGAAAACTCTGGTTAATTATAGTGAGTTAGGAATCATCTGATTGGATAATCAATCATGAGCTGATGCGGGACCAGCTGAGAACAATTATAAGCACGTGATCATCTCGAAATTAGTTGATAAATAAACTTTACTTAAATCTTATTTTCAGTTCTGCTACACTATAAAAAATGCCTGATAAGTGTGACGTCACGCGAAGTGGCTTCCAGGTCCAAGCACTCCATCCAATAGTATCAGGAGACTCAACAAATCGTAATAATAAACATTTACAAAGCAATGTAATACTTTCGAAATATCACAATCGCAAAGTATATATCTATGCCTAATATCCGATGGCCAGAAAGTAATTGGTAAAATATTGTCCAGGTCAGTATTTCATTTGTCATGACAAGTGAATACCTTCATGCTGCTCCAGCACAAATCGATTAAGTTAACTTACCAATTTTTACAAATTTAAGTGGATTGAACAAAACAATTAAGTTGCCCCCCAAAAGACTTAAGAATGGTGTTTATTCAGCTCATTTTAAATATGCAGTTTCAACAAGCAGCAAAAAAATATTTTTTGGAGTGTAAGCAGAGCTAAAACTAATGTGTGTATATATATATATATATATAGAGAGAGAGAGAGAGAGAGAGAGAGAGAGATTTTTCAGGCACTATAATAAAAATAATGAATAATCGTGTTTTTCATTAGCATATAACTCAAAATAATGTATTTCAGACAAGAATTCAACAATGACGTAAAAAGATTTCAACCACCATAATAAATCCTACATAAACACACACAAACACAATCCCATTTTCTCGAAAAGTGGCCTTATTTTGTTGATTAATGTCCATTTTACTTTTTTCCTGTTATATAACATTCGGCTTATGCTGATTTGGCTTCCTACTGCCTCATTTTGACTCGAACCAGAGTCCTGCTTAATCTCTGTATTGAAACGGGGCTACTAGCACACCTACACATGCATAATTGCTCCATTTATTCTCTATGAAAGAACTGGAAACTCACAGAAAGGCAAACACATGCTTTAAATATGACTACAAATTCACTAAATTGCATATGTGGAGATCAGGATTAGAAAACCAACTACAGCTCCCAAATATGAAGGGCAATGCTTAGTCCTATTTAAAGTTATCATAAAACAGGACGTAAACAAGCTGTTAAAAAGCACATTGCAGCACATTGCAAGAACGTAGAAGAGATTATTGAAAAGGAGCATTGACCAAAACTAGAGAACACTTACAGATTCCCTTTTGATTATTGGGGTTAATCTGCACCTGTTGGTCATTTTGGGAATTATCTGACAAAGCCCTATGAATTCATAAATTCATTTTCCAGTTTTCACCGATTTTGAAAGATGCATGTTCATAATGTCACACACTCACCCACCAATAAGGC